AGCGTGGCGATCGTTACTTAATAGATATTATTCTTTTCGTTACGTTTGTTGTGTGTGTGTGTGTGTGTGTGTGTGTGTGTGTGTTGAATTTAGTGTGTATTTTTTTCAGAAATACATTTGATGATGTGGAATCGATTAATCGATCGAATTTAATAAGAAAAATATATAGATAAGATAGCTTATTATTTAGCGATCACGTAAAAAATTAATATAATCATAATTCTAATAATACTACGTAGCTTAATTATGCGAGCTGAACGTGTTTGAATGGAAATATTGCGTGCGAAGATAATTTTATCGATTTACATAGTTACATGAATCGAAAATGATATTCATTATGTTATCAAAGTATTCGTTAGTCTGAAAAATTACGTAAATTTAAATAAAACGTATAATTAGGATTGAATGTATATAAACTTTATTTGTATATTATAATTTTATGTTAATAGTATTTTTCCCATCAATTGAATGTTATCGTATCAAAACATGAAATAAATTAAAATAACGAGCTAGATGATATCAAAACATAAACCGGATATTTGTTTAAAATTCAGTAAGTAAAAAAGTTCAGTAGAAATACTAATAATTAATATTAATAGTTCAGTAAAAATATTTGTAAGTGGCTACCCAAAATTGTTTTCTTGTTGTTTTATTAAGCAGACTTCGGCCTTACTCTAAAGTAGAATGAATGGAAACGATATCTTCTATAAAAGTTTAATTGAATTTGAGGTCAATAACGATAACTCAAGTGAATATGGGTGCACTATTGAATTTCGATCGTACACTGAATTCCCAATGGAATTAACGGTTTTAGAAAGCTGTGTTGGAACAGGAATCGCGCAGGAATGACCATAAAATTGTAGTAACGATTTGCATCAGAAACCAATTTCCTGACGGACAGAAAGTTATCTTTCTCCCATTATTATTTATAACAGTCGTAAAGCTGAAAAATATGGGTAAAAACAATAAACGTCAAAAACAATAAAATAGACAGCTTAATCTCGTATTACCGCGATATAATAACTAAGACGTAATAGAGTCGTTGACATTGAGAAGAATGAGAGACATCAATTTTCGCGTTAAGAATATGATCTTTATTTTTTTACGATAATTTTCTCATTTTCTTATTATCCCGAACAGTTATTAAACCGGAGATGGTAATTGCGAGTAGAGAAGAGCCGAAACGAGTTGACTAAAAGTTTCGCACACGTGCACGTGTGCTATGACGATGACTTGGCTGATTTAGTAGACATAATTACTTGTCGCGGGACAGCTTTTAATTGTCACGGATTACCGGTGCAACGGCACGTCCTGATTCGAAAGTAGGTAATTCTCGGACGTTGCGCGAAAACGACTGCCAAACTCCGTACATTGTCAACAGAGGAGAAAAATTAACCGATCGAGGAGAGGAGAAATCGAGCGGGAAATAAGATTTTTGGCTTCCTTTATCAAGCGTAAAATCGTCGAAAGCGGAAAAGCAGAGGAATGCATCTCACGTGTCACGCTTTCCAACGTGACGCAGCGGTCGCGTCGAATAAACTTGAGAGACAGAGGGCCCAAAAACACGCACGTGGCTGACGTGCTTGTATCGTTCGTCACTCTCTCCCGGTTTTCCCTTCTATTTCGGGGTCGCGTTTTAACACACGCGCGTAACACACGAGTACTTTCGATGCGCCGAATATCTTCCTCCGAATGCCATCCCGAGTCAACATTTCCATCCACGCTACATACAAAATGGCAATTCGACATCTGTTTTTTTTCTTTTTTTTTTTAATATGCATTGACGTTTTCAAGCTCTGCTGTATAATGCAGTTTCGTTCCGGTAGAATTTTGACGATATACGGGTAGAAATCTTGATGGAGAAATCTACAAGTCTTGTAAGAAAATTTCCGATTGAAAATGGGGGTAAATAAATATTAATGGGTTAATTAAATATTCGCGAGTCATCGAAATCATGCGTTTTGTAAGCTACGCTTCGCCTCTTGACTGACGAAAGTGTCACGCCGTCAAATGATTTGCGAATACGTGTGGCGCATTGTAACGTGTGTTTACGGTCCTCGATCTATCCGTTTTGATTGCTCGCATCTGTCGAATCCGGTCGCTAAAATGATAGCCGCTGAAAATAATGGCGGAGGACTCGGGCAAAATTGCCGCGGGGGGACATTCTCCCGTGCCGTTCCACTTACATCATTTTACCGCGATGGGTAAAAGCGGAGTTTGTAGAAGCGCGAGCATTTAAAGACAATCGCGATTATGTGCACGGGATTGCCTCCCGTGAGCGCCTTCATTCCTCCTCTCTCCCGTTACAGCACGCTAAAAATCCCACGCCCGTTCGTTCCGCTGGAATAGCGGGAATCCGCGACTGCCGACTCTCTTGACCGAGAACGCGATCATTAAAAAATTCGTCGCGAGAAACTACGTTCGTCGCGAGTGAAGTCTCAGTTGAGATTTCAAGCGCCGATCATTACGCTCGGTGTAACAAATTCGGCGATAAAAATTGCTACCGATACATGAGGATTTGTTCGCAGTGTGTCTCTCCTTCGAAGCCGCTTGTCTTTTTCAGAATCATGATCAGATTCGCGATCCTCCTTGTCCTCGTGATCGATCTGGCGAACGGCCAGCTCAACTACGAGGGAAATCCGTTCACGGAGTATACCGAGTACATCGCCGAGGAGAGCAATCTTTCCGAGAAGTTGCCAGAGAAGTCTGCCAGAAGAAATGACGCCTCGGTCGATCTCCCCGATTCCGGGCTATCGTCCCGTCCTCAGAAATTATATCCGATCGTGGAATCCGAAAGCGAGCCCGACGGGCATTCGCAGCAAGAAACCGCGGAGACCGATAATCTCCTCAAATCGCAGATTTTATCTTCGGTCCAGACGCCGATCTTCCGATCGGACGCCGTAGACACGTCCGCTCGGCAGTTCCAGGACTCTTCCGATCGGAACGCGCCGATCAGCCAAGCGGAGGTGGCGTTAAACTCATTCCTGAACTCCAGGACACCCGAGGAGTCTCGCACGTCTCTCGAACACTACCTCCGCAGCCAACAGTCGCCGGAGGATCAATCGCGACCCTCAAATGCGATCGTCAGCCAGGAATCGTCAAAGCCGATCGAGCCTCTCGAGTTTCAACGACAAGCGATCTCTCATGTCGAACAACAGCAACCGATCTCCCATGTCCAGCAGCAATCGTTGCTGGTTCCTCAGGTGAATCATCAGCAGCAGGTGCAGCTGACGTCGCAGGTGGACCAGGTTCAGCTGGTGCCGCAGGTGATGCCGCAGGCCGATCAACGACAACAACTGTTGCTACCGCCTGCCAGCCAAGCTTACGGCTACGTGAGGCAGCCGGCCGCGATACAGCCGGCCGTGATCAGGACACCCACGGGTGTCGTTTTAGGACAGAAATTGCTCCAACCGGTACCGCTCATACCCGCTTTCCAGGCCCGGAACGATATGATAACACCGGCCATGTGGCGAGAGAGAATGAGGAGGATACGCGGGAAGCCGTTCCCCTTCGCGCAGCCCAGGGTAGCGGCATTGTACCAAGGACCAATCGCAGGTGAGCGAATATATCTCGGGGAGAAGAAACGCGCGGCGAGAGAGTTAACAATAATTTTAAGCATCGAGGAATAACAATTTTTTGCGTGTCACGATCCAACGTAAAAAAAGACTCGTCCATCTCGATCGTCAGACTTTAAGATTATCGAGTTGAGTCCATTATTCTTTTCGCTTTTTTGCCTGAGAGATAATAATCTTCTTTATTCATAAGAAGGCTATTATTATACAAATAAATTCTATCCCATGTTTGAAAATACTTGTGTGTTGAACATTGATCTCTTTGACCTTGTCGCTGCGAGAATGTGCGTTACGTCACATTTTTAATAGCCTTACGCGAAAAGAAAGGTATAAACACCTTCCATGGTAATCAATCATCTTTTTTTACTTTTGATCTTTGCACATCCATGAATCAAGTAAATATACATAATCAATAATACTACATTTATATATATGTTTAATCTCATCTTCAATCATTTGTAGCTTCAAGCTATTACATCCTATCCTTATTTAATTATTTGTAATAGATATCTCACACTTGAGAATATTGATTTTTTTCCGAATCATTAACTGCACGATAATGAATCAATAATGTTTTTTTTTTTTTTTTTTTTTTTCCCTTAAAAAAACTATACAGACAGTACTATTTTTGTATATCAGTTAATACTAACATACATTTGCGTTGCACTTGATAAATTTGTCACTTCGGATGGAATTCGATGAAATTAATCCTCTTCTGGACCTTACAGTTCCCTTCAAGGCCAAGACTCCAGTGGAAGTGATTTACACGAAGCCACCGGGTCTCCATCGAGGACCGCCCATCATCAGCAATCCACCGGTTCCCTACGAGGACGCGAGTGCCTGGTTCCCCGACACCGAGTACCCGCCCTCCCATAAAGATGTCTATTATTCGCAACTATACGCGCAGTCCTACGATCCTCATTATTACAACTACATCGCCGCGACCGGTAAGATCCGCCCATATCTATACGGGAAGTTAGGCAAGCATCAGGAGGAGCAGGACGACGGCATCTGGTCGGAGCTGTTTCGCGGCTTTAAAAAACACGGCCTGAGGAACATCATGACGCCGACCTTCCTGCTGGGCATGACGCTACCTGTGGTAACCCTGATGCTATCCGCTCTCGTGCAGAAGCGGTCCATCGCGCGCTCCGACGACGCGAGGGAACTGGAGCAGGAGGACGCTCTGCAGGAATACCTCGAGAGGCTGCAGAGAGCGTTGGAGTGTTACGCCGGCAAGAATTCCCGAGACACGAAGCTGAACGCTGGATGCTAGAATTCGGGATGTATCCAACAACAATGCTACATGAACGACTCGGGTATGACGCACGAAGACGCCCGGTCGGCGGTTAATTGCGCTAATTACTCGAGCGACTAGAAGACGTGAACGTCAACTTGAATGTTACTTTAATACCCTTTTCAACCTTGAAATATCGATCGGGTTTTCTTTCCTCGCGCGTCGTCCTGAACTTTCATTTCACTCGACAGCACACTCAGACGTGATCGTTCGATTCGTTTATCTAACGCGACGTGACGTTTATTTCGAAGTTGAGATTTCGGACCGACGCGTTTTGCGATAGACGCGTGGCGAAATCTTTGTACTTAAATAGTGATAAAGACGCTATTCTTCAAAACGGCGTGTGTGCTTTGTAGACGTGTAGCTTCATTTAAGCGGAGACAGACCTGTTGATCTGTTGATCGAGTTGTAGTTGCAATCTGTTATTTTCTAACATTATATATCGTATTTCGCACAGATTCTTAGAAAAATTTTTGCGATCGCGACATATATTACCATATATAAATGAAAATCAAGAATATCGAGTATTTCGCATAAATATAAGTAGATGTAAATTACGGGGAATTACTTCCTTTCAAAGGAGCGACACGTTTCGATTAAAAAAAATAATTAAATAGATAACGATACATTTTCACATTCAAACGGAAAACATAAAAGTGAATCGTGAACATTTTAATTTACGTGCAATTACGGATGATCGTTTCCGGCGAATCACGGAAAAATACGGGCGAAAAACCGGCATTCTGCACGCGCGGCTGTGCGCGATCATTATAACACAGGTCTAATGACACGCAAACGTTCCCATGATGTGTCATTAGTGTGTTATACAAGACCGACGTCTGTTCTCCCTTTATTTCGAGTCATTAGTTGCTGTAGTTAAAAAAAAAAA